TTTCCATCACTCATCACTGGCTGAAATATGCTAAGAGGACCTTCTCAGCAGCCACTCTCAGATTGTGGCATGCCTTCCCCATGAGATCCATTGCACCCTGCTCTTCCAGGGTTTCTGTTAACTGATTAAAACACACCTGATAAAGATTTGTCATGCTTTTGATATGATGTTCGTAGGCTATCATTTTAGAATGCTATTTACCAAACTGATCTCTGTTCTTACACTTTTGTTCTCCTTTTATTGGATTGCTTTGTTTTTAATCATTGTGAGTCACCGTGAGTGATGCAAATGCATTGAAAGGATGGGGCACGCATGATCAAAATAAGCAAACCTATTTGAGGGAGCTGAGAGGGTAAAATGGAGACAGTTACCCTGTGTGAACCGTATGCAGGTCAAGGTTTGATGGGATTTGCCGGTCCGAATCAGCCTAGCTTAACCCAACCTTAGGCTGGCAAATGTCCCTCTACCCTCAATGCAAAGGAGAACTGAGCACTTGTTGCTACCTTGGCTTGTACTCACTGCTCTTATTTCTCAGTTATGAAGTGGGTAAACTGAGAGGTACACTAGCAGAAGCAACCTGACCTGTTTAGCCACCTGAAGCAGAACAGGAAGGTGCCACCTCCCTCACCGAAGCCTCACTTACCAGAGTTGTGAAGCTGTGGCTTCTCGAAAGTTCCCTGAGATCTTGTGAGAGTTGAGATAATTCCGGAAGCTGCCACCACACAACCCTGGCAGCGGTGGCAGGGACACCCACAGGAGCACCATCCCACGGGATTCCACTGTTTGAGGTGGCCGCCTCATGGATGAGTTGGCCCTATACGCTAGTTTAGCCCTAGTCCTGAGTCATCTTCAGAAGCTGAATCAGGGCCCTCCTTTCTTACCATTTCAAGTTCTATTCAGTGATCCAACTATTGGTCTTCATTCCAGAGTTCAGCTGAGTGCAACTCCATTCATGGGACACCCACACTGAAGTGGGGTGGCATTTCTGCTCATTCCACCAGTGGTGAAAGGGTGGTGGTTGTAGGGCATTATCGCTTCCTATCCCTTTCTCCCTCAGGAGCCTCCACTGGAGTGCAATCTCTGGTAAGAACAGAAGGAACCCTCCCATCTGCAAAAAGGCAACTCTAGAAACCACCCAATATCTTTTATGTTGACAGACGTACAACAGGAAGTACAGTGGTACCTTGGTTGTCGAACGGCTTTAAATCGGCTCCTGAACGCCACAAACCCAGAAGTGTTCCCATTTGCAAACTTTTTTGGAAGCCGAACGTCCGACGTGGCTTCCACTTGAGTTCAGGAAGCTCCTGCAGCCAATTGGAAGCCGCGCCTTGGTTTTTGAATGGTTTCAGGAGTCGAACGGACTGCTGGAACAGATTAAGTTTGACAGCCAAGGTACCACTGTACTGTAAATTCATTGTATGCAGAAGAGGTAACTACTGATCCCAAGGATATAGCTATAGACACCCACCTTACCCTCTTGATTGCTTCTGAAACATATTCTATGTTTAAATTCTTTTAACTTTCCCTGGGAGCTCATGTTGAGGGGGGAATCTAATAACAACAGGCCTCAACCCTGCAGCAATTCCAGAGACAAACATCACCACATATAAATGTTAGTCTAACACAATGTTCAATAATATTGCCAAGCGGAATTGAACAGCCTGAGTAATTTTTAGGATTCTATTTTTGCAAATGGATGGAGAAGACACCTTTGTTGGCATCACAGAATTGGGAGATTTTCATTTCTTCCTTAAAATTAGAGCCCAGCGCTATAAGTAGAGCCCTGCTTGCTGATTACTCATGCCAACAGTTTCTGAAGAACACATGCCAGGACATTTCTTCCATAGATAAACATGCTATTTTTGAAACAAAAAAACTTCAGAGCTTGTAAGTAAGCCAACCAGAGAAAGCTCAATAACCTTCCCAAGCAACAAAGCGGACGCACTCCTGGATGTATGTACATGAAAATAAGTGCTGGTTTATAAATGCAGTGTAGCCTGTTCATGTGTTACTTATCTATTTGTTATTTTATTCAATTTCTTACCTACCCCTTTACCATAAGGTCCCAGGGCTGGCTGCAGTTACAAAAACAAACAAAACTGTTATAAAACACAAAGCACCATGCAAAACCAGTTCCATATACACAACTGATGAGTAGGTGGCTCCAGCATTTGGATTCCTCTGCAGACAACCTTGAATAGTACATGAAGAGCTGATGGGGCTAACAGTGCAGCCCTGCTCTGCCATCAGCAGATATAGAGCCTGCATATGAGTGCCTATGGACTCTCTCTTCACAAAAGGAAAATGGCAGCATCTAGACTTTGGAACTCCCTGCCTATTGATATCAGAACGGCACCTTCACTGTACTCATTTTGGCGCCTGCGAAAAACATTTATTGTTGATTTTCCTTAGTGACAATTTTATCGTTTTATCTTTTTTCTAAACCACTTTGAGATTTTTTTTTGGTTTTTGTCTGTTTTACAATCAAGCAGTGCATAAATTTTAAGAAATAAAAATTTCAAAGGAGTCTGCTACATTCGGCTACTTTATACATACTACTTTATACACACATGTACAATACATACATTTATGAGCAGTAAATAATTGAGCCTGGGTGGTATCTGGCTGGTCTGCTGTGGATTGTGATGCATTTTCTTATACTGTAATGTGTTGATTATATTGTACTGCAATGGCAACTACCCTGGTATTATTGACAAAGCGCAGTATAGAAGTCTTTTAATCAATGGTAACTGAATGTGTGAACTGTATCAATTGAAAAGCGTGGAAGAATGAGGCAACGTGCACATGCTCTCTGTGATGGTCCATTCATGCGTGCAAGTGACTGCTGTGGACTATCAAACATCCAAGTGTGAGTCAAGCCTGAACACGTTCATTTCAATGGAATTTAATTCCAGGTGTCTCTGCATTAAAACTTTGGGTTGGATTTAAAATGTATCTTTCAGAGTTCAATAAGACCATTGAAACTGAACCATGGGTTATTCAGAGATTTCAGTGATCATTTTATATCTCATCCACCCCAAGTCAATAGAATAGGTAGAGGAGGGGAGAGAGATGGTCTCACCCATTGACTTGTTTACATGCATGGTATTATATACTCACTTTAGCTGCTCTAGGGCTGGGCGTTATTTTGACTAATTATTATGGGACAGAAATATGTAACAAAAGCTGTCTCAATAAAGAGTACCCCAAAGACTACAGATTCCAATTAAGCAAAAATGTTCGGTCTGGAGCTTCATAAACACCTGCTCTGCTACTCCCCTTCACAATTCAGATAAATATTGCATTTGAAACCCTCACAGATTTAAAAACACGCACTGCCAGACAGTTGAAATGCCTTGGATAAGCTTGAAGTTCGATGATTTAAGAACCCAATTAAACTGATTTGCTAGCGAGGCCAGTTTCACCGACGGGCTGCGTTTTAAAAATGTTTTATATGCCAACCGTGGCTTAAGCAAGATGAATACGAAGCTCTGTAAATATTTTGTCAACTCAGCTCCAAAGCTTACTGAAGCTGGCACATTAAAAGGGGAAATTCAATATTTTAGACCCACGCAAAACGCTCTTCCTGTAGGAATCGTTCTAGATTTGCTGTACTTACTCAATCCACACAAAGCGCCTGTCGATTGATGGCACTGCCACCTGGGTGATGAGGAGTTAGCACTCACTGTGAGGTGCAAAGGGACTTGCTGTCACACGTCAGAAATTCCAGCTTAAATTATCCCCCTCCCCTTCTTCAAACAAGCCAGCGTTGGCCAAAATTGAGATGCCCAAGAGCATCCAATGGGTGCTGGTGGGGATGAAAACAAGCTCACCAAAGCTCACACATTTATTCTTCCACAGCCAGAGGTGCTGTTAGCAGGCGGGCCCAACCCCCAGGACTTTTATGCTGGACACCAAATGCAGCAGAAAACTGTGAATGGAGACACTTTGCACTGATTGCTGATTTGAGTTTTACACTGGTATTGCTTTATGGCTTGTGTTTTAATTCTGTACACCACTTACTTGAGGGACAAGAGGGGCACTACAGCGTAAATGCCATGGGTCCAGGTAGTAGTCCTTTAATGCTACTCTTTGGAAACAACATTGCAGGCCATTGCAGGCAGTAGAACCACCAATGCAATACAGTGCCTCCAACACACTGAGTCGTTCCAGGAAGATACCACGATCAACAAAATCAAAAGCTGCAGAGAAATTAACAGGAATCAAGAGGGTACACTCCCTGCAATTCTTTCTGAAGCAAAGGTCAGAGCAGGACAACAAGGACTGTTTCTGCATCACACCCCCAACTGGGACTGAAATGGGTCTGGATAGCCCACTGAATCCAAATACATCTGCAGTTGGTCAACCACAATCACTGCAACCACCTTGCCCCCCCAAAGGGACACTGACCACTGGACGATAGATATCCAACATGCCCAGGAAGAGCTTCTTCGCAGCTATACCACCCCTTTCTTCAAAGTGGTGGGCATCACACCCTCCTAGTGAGGGAACAACTACTCCTGCACCCACCCAAATCAGCAGCTTCCCACTATGCAGTATGGGCAGGGTCAAGAGACCACATGGTTGGTTAGCCTAATTCCTGCCAGCATCCTGCCCATGTTCTCAGGCTGCAAGAACTGCAACTGATCCCACAAACGTAGAACAGACAATGCTCCAATAGCTTTTCCAAGGTCGGCTCCAACAGGGCACTGAGTTTGGAATGGACACAGCAGGCTGATGTCTAATACCCATGGATGATGGATACTAACCAGCCCCTTTGCCATGTGAAAAAGCTCCACTGGGCAGTTCACTAATGATGCAATGGTCATCACTCAGTCCTATTTAATTGCCCAAAGCAATTTGGAAAACAACGGTGCCTTCTGAACTCTACTTAACTGAAGAGGGCCCTCAGGAGTGATCCTGCAACTATCCCACCACATCTCACCATTTCAGAGAGTTCAGGAATTATTTGCAATGCAGGCAGAGACAGGTCAAAACATTGTGCTGCCCAAAAAGGTTGTTTTTATTTTAAAATACTGCTATCTAGCAACAATTCAGGCAATAATAACTCTTTATTAGCTTGAGGGAGAAAGTGTTTGACATATTTAGATGTTTTCCAGGCACAGACTACAAGACCGTCTGTTTTTATCAGGTAAACATTAGTAATACTGTGAAATAAATGCATGGTTTTTAAAAAAATATTCAAATTACAAGGCTGTTACATAGTTGCTTTTGTGAAACAGCATTTTACATAGATTATCTGTAGGAGTAGAAAGTGTGATGCCGCAAGAGAACAGAAATTTTGGATGTGGGATGTTTGAATTCTTAATTCAGCCAGAAGATTCAAACCTGAATTCACCCATGCTTGCTGTAGAACCAACTTTAGTTATCGTGAAGACGAAGTAGAAAGAAAGTAGGGCATTTTAGAATTTTTAAAATAAATTAATCCTGAGGCACATTTTGGTCCCTTCAGCAAGTCAGCAATCTAGCCAGATGCAACAACAATCATGCACAATATAGTTAAATCAATTTTCCAATGAAAACTTGCAATTTACGCTGAAGTTAATTTGTCTAGTACCTCTTAATACCCAACAGAAGTATTATTGAGAACAAAGTCAAAGCACACATCCTCCATGGGTGGTTGGATGGTATCCACCGCCATTTACTCTCCCAAAAAAAGAGATGGCCAAAAGAGGCCAGTGATAGGCATAAAAAGTTGTAAACTGCAAGAATGAGATAGTCTACTCAGTTTCTACAAAAATGAGAACACCGTGACTCAAGCTAAATCTGGAAACAAATAAGTCTCCTTCCATTCTTACATCCACTATAATGCAAGCATGGCAGCTTGTAGTGAAACCTATGTCAGATGCTTACACATCCACTGAAACAGAACTCAGTCTGAATATACAAGTAAATCTTAGAGATGGAGAATCACAACAAAAAGGCAAGCTGATGTATCAGCATTTAATAAGTTTGTCCCTGCAAAGGATAAAGGGAAAACCAGGAGCAAGTTTACTCATATCATTGCTGGTAATAGTCCCCCCCCCCCAAAAAAAAATGCACTAGCAATTTATGTACTATTCTTGCTCTTCAAAAGTGCAATACATATATTTTTTGACTCCATACACAGAGTAATATTGCTCAGACTGCATGCAAAGTCAGAAGGTCTGGTTAGTACTGGTACCTGGCAAACACACTTAAGGCTTCTAGATGGCTTAAAGAGTAGGAATCTTCAGGAAGTTAGTTACAAAGGGCAAATCTTTTAACACAGCAGAATTAACTTGCAAATCATTTATTGTTTTTAATTCAATGAAATGTGTTAAAAGATGGTATCATCTTTAGTGTTATACAGGCAATGTGGTCAAGTGCAAGCACAGAACATCTGGAGCCACTACAACTTCTGGGGAGCAATTCCCCCTGTGCAGCTCCTGGTAATTTTAGTGAGGTTTGCACAGGAGAACACCCCAGCAGATCTTGCTTAGCTAGCAGCATGCCCAGCAAAGGCAAATATTGGCTGTAGTTTTAAGTAAGGAGTTGACTAAAATATAAGGCAACAAAATAAGACCATCTACTTCTCTTTTTTAAAAAAAGAAAGACTGGGAAAGGGTGGTTTTTTTGCTTCTAAAATCAAGTAGAAACTAGTATGTATACAAAAGAATGGTACAACTTTGTGAAAGTCATATTTGTTTTCCCTTTAAGGCAATTTCAAAGTATTTATTATAATATGTAAACTCTTGAAGACCCTGGCAGGACTACCATATAAGCACAACACAACTTCTGTGGCACTGATGGGTGGCATTCAACTAAGTTTTACTTGGAGTAGATCCATTTAAATTTACAAACATGACTATGTCCAGATGTTCCACATGATCCCATTTGCTAATAGCCAAGTAGCCTTTTCATAGTCTTCTAGAGTTTTGAAAGTTTCTTCACAAACATGTCACCATAGAATACACAATTAAGAGTTCACTTCCTGCAATAAAGTATGGCAGTGACTATGGCCAATACTGAGCTTACCAGCATTTAAGGAGTTGTGGGAACATGATTAACACTCCTCTCATCATCTAACCAGAGACTACAGACAGCTAGCTCTGTGTGATCAGCGAAGCAATTCCAGAAGTCTTTAAAGTAGCTGATCTTTTAAACTTGGGAGAAGTCAACTTCAGTCTTGTGTGCCCTACCACCACTAATTGGCTTTAAAATTTATAAAGCACAAATACATACCCCGATGTCTCAACTGTTATGGAATAATTTACCTGTGTTCAGTGATCTCAAGTATACACTCACTTAACATAAGAAGTGCTTTGCTGGATTAGATCACAGCCAATCGACGTTTTCTGCAAGAATCCCAGTATCACTGGTCCAACAAGCAGACCACAGCCTACCCTTCTGGCCATTCCTGCTCCATTTACTCTCTCTAGATTTCGTTCCCGAGAACTCCCACCAAGGAAGACAGCCTACAATATCCCCTCCACCAGCTATAGCCAAAGGAATAGCCAGACATCACATCTTGGTAAGACGGCAGGGAACAGCTATTGATCAAAGCTGGCTAGGGAAAAACATATCCCATCCCAGTAAAGCCAGACTTCGGATTTGCATCCTTTTATTCTGTTTCAGTGGGAAGCCAAGTTGCTACACAGGGCATCAAAGCCTCGACCATCACTGGAAATCCTACACAGTTCTGTAAGCTAGAAGGCTATCTTCAGAGCCATAGGGACTAGAAATTCCTTTCTGCCACCACCAATTCTGGGTAAAGGCTTCAGCATCCTCAGAATGCTAAGCTTTAAAATGAAGGCAACCACCACCACCTGTAGTCTGGGTAGAATCCACATAGGACTAGAAACAGGTGGTCCCATAGAGAAACCATAGCTTTAACTGCTGTCACTGGGGAAAGGCTCACTGTGAACTATTTTTGGTGGACTACATCTTCAGAAGCCAATGCATTTAGTATGGTACTTAGTGTTGGCTTTAGCATCCTAAAGCAAACAAAAATACATGGCAAAAGAATACAGGCCTTCTTGAGTTGCTGAGGGAAGGGAGAACTTCTACAAGTTAGCACTGAAGTGTAACCATTTGCTTACTTACCACACTTACTCTGAGGGAGACAAAGTAACTGATGGCTAGGGATAAATTTCTGCTAGCAGACTTACTTTATCAGATTTAACTGCACTGGTAATAGCTGGATACTTGGGCATACATCCCACCCCCCACCCCCCGCTTGTACTGATGAAGAAATATGCCTGAATGGAAACCACCAGTAGCCCCTTAAGACAGGAGGACTTCCACATTCATATCCATATTCACCAAAATTCTACCATTCATCTCTGCATCAGTTAGAGCCCTTTAGTAGGTTTATTAGCAAAAGGCCATAAAACTGACAATTCATTTGACAGATGATCCTGAAGAGCTGATGTGTTGTATGAGGGCTTAAGATCCTTGACTTCTTCTATTAGGCGCCAGGCACCAAATGGCAATGATCTTTTTATTATTGAAGGCCTGGTCTGCCTCAGTAATCTAAAAGGCAAACATTCTGCATCACTTAGCAAAGTGAGAGTCCTGATATTCTGGTTATAAATGTAAAGTACACCACGGTTGTAATTAATACTGAAGGAGGGGAATTATTAAAAACAGCAGTAACATTAGGAAGGACATTAATTAAAACTGTGTGTGTGTGTGTGTGTGTGTGTGTGTGTGATTATTAAAACCAACATTGACATTAGGAAGCCCCCAGGATACCAGCTACAGAGAGGCAAAATAAAATGGAAAGGTGAACAATGCCTCGTAATGTTATCTACAAAATGGTACTGTTTTGCACTATAAAAGACGTGGATTTCCTAAAAAGCTACACTTTGTCAAGGCCTAGCCCACAGCATGAATGTAAGTCAAGGGAAAATACTGACTAGTCTAAGCAAAACAGTGCGCCTTGAATCAAATGTTTAAGAACAATTGACTAAAGACAGCATCCTATTTACACTTGTCTGGGATTAAGTTCCAGTAGCTCAATGTTCCATTGAGTATACATGCATACAGTTGCACTGTAAAGGCAGTATTAAATTGAACTGGGGTATAGATAAAACCACTATTTACCACAGAACTTGCAGTAATGCATTCTAATACCACTATCTGTAACGTGTTTTTAACGTGTATATACTTAAGTCACATTATTTACTCAAGCTAAAGGCAATCTTGGGTGTAATAAAGCTAGCTTTGTTCATGGACCTTATCCATTATACAACATTAAAAACTTGTAAACTGGAAATAAACAAATTTAGGAAAAAGATAAATGTTATTCCCTCCCCCCCCCCCCCGAAAAAAGAACCAGTTCAAAAATGTGTTCCTAGAAGACACATAAAAATATTTTCAGTGGAGTTGATGATTATTAAATATGCATCTCAAGGAAAAATAAAATCCTGAATTCTCAGTTTTCTTCCCAACTTGGCTGTTTCCTTAATATCAAAAAATCAAAGGATGAGCGATAAAAAACAATGGAATTGGTCATTGGTAGAAGAAAGCTAATGTGTAGTATGTTCTTACAGTATCCACACTGGAAGTGTCTGTAGAATTAGAAAATGGTCACTAAAGTTATGGTTGAAAAAACTTCTTTGGCACTATGAAACAGAAGAGATGGGATTAAGAGGGGATCCCATCTGGGTGAGTACTTTATCCAGCCACTGCAGAGGCCCATGAAGATGGATTTCTATCCAGCATGGAGTGCTTGTAACATCTTGCCGATGATATTCCGCTCCCCATCCCTACAAAAAATGGGCAGACATTTAGTGTATATCCAAGAATCGCTCTTAAAACAGCCAGTGTTGATTAGTCTAGTAAATTCATTAGAAATTAAAAAAATGAGTAACACCCCCCCCCAAAAAAGAAGTGTGACACGTCAGAGAAAAGGGAATACGGTGGTACCTAGGGTTACAGACGCTTCAGGTTACAGACGCTTCAGGTTGCAGACTCCGCTAACCCAGAAATAGTACCTAGGTTAAGAACTTTGCTTCAGGATGAGAACAGAAATTGCACGGTGGCAGCAATGGGAGGCCCCATTAGCTAAAGTGGTGCCTCAGGTTAAGAATGGTTTCAGGCTAAGAACGGACCTCCAGAACGAATTAAGTTCTTAACCCGAGGAACCACTACATAGGTTTATGGAAGGATGGCGGGATACCATATGCTTCTATTCCTCTCACAGAAAAAATCCTACTGTTCAGTAGGATTCCCGGTATACGTTGTCTACTAGGTTTTGCAGATGGAGAAGAATGACAGTTTATTCAAACGAAGCCTCATCCTATTGGAAAGGCCTGCAAATGACGATTGAGAGAATGCATCTGTCCAACTGACACCTGCTTCAGAGCCTGTTACACCGACAAGGAGGACATGCTTGTTTGAAATACAGGCATCTCCCCATTGATGCGCACTCTATTTGCACGCAACCAGAAGCGGTACCCAGAAACAGAGTCACTTGGTCAACCAAGCCCCACAGTCCCTTTGGCTCCCCCAAGCCAGAGAGGCAGCAGAGCTGGCCCAGGTGATGTGCTACTCAGTTAACCAGCCCAGCTGACGCACGGAGGAAGCTGTGCAAGCTCTGTTGCCCCTTCGGCTCACACAAGCTAGAGGGGTGGCGGGACTTGGTTGAGGAGGACTCTCTAGGGTGCTCCCCATTTTACACAATTTTGTGCGTGCGTATGGGGCCCCAGAACGGAACCCCTGCATAAATGGGGAGTTGCCTGTAGTAATGCATCCAATCTCCCTCTACATCATTCCCCATTCTGAGGTTACTTCTGTGACTTTTTGAGATTACATATGGGGAAGAAGCCCTCAAAGCCACAGAAGATTTTCCATTAAAGTTATTGTCCTGGGGAATATACCGTATTTTTCGGCCCATAGGGCGCACCTAGTTTTTTGGGGGGGAAATAAAGAAAAAAAAATTATTTCCCCCCCCCAGGCGCGGGGCTGGGGGGGAGGAGCCCGAGCTTCCCCCGACCCCAGCCCCCAGAACAGGCAGCTCTCCAAAAGCCGTGGGAGAGCTGCGCGAAGCCCGAAGCCTGGGGGGCGCTGAGCTCAGCGCGCCCCCAGGCTTCGGGGTGCAGGCAGCTCTCCACAAGCTGTGGGAGAGCTGCGCGAAGTCGCACAGCTCTCCCACGTCTTGCGGATAGCTTCCTGAAGCCTGGAGAGCGAGAGGGGTCGGTGCGCACTGACCCCTCTCTCTCTCCAAGCTTCAGCGAAAGCCTGCATTGGCCCCATAGGACGCACACACATTTCCCCTTCATTTTTGGAGGGCGAAAAGTGCATCCTATAGGGCGAAAAATACGGTACTTCAAAAATCACTCAAACGCATAAGTTATAGCAGGTTCACACCCCTTACCTTCACAAAACTCATCCGAATTGTGCACATTTTGGTGAGCTCGTATACTGCCTCAAATCCATGATTGACCGACTGAGCTAGAAGCTGAGCGAATTCCTGGTTGTTAAAAATTTTCAGGCTACAGCCGCTAGGAATTTTGCAGACAGTTGTAGGGTGAAATCCATGATGGTAGTTGCAATTCCGACTCTGTACAAATATGCTGCTGTCACTCAGGCATTCGGCATAGACTTCACCACCAACATAGTAGAGATGGACACCTGGAGTCAGGGGAGTGAGAGAAACCCAAACATTTAACAGGGTTATTTGCAGAAATATTACAGATGTCAGAAAGTCTAGCCGAGTTCCTATTTTTAAAAGGCTCCAGTAGGAATGGTTTCCAGTTATTCTAACACATCAGAGTATACTTGCATTTCTACTACTGAATATCAGCCACTAGATGTCCTCCTTCCATGAATCAAAGAATAAGATTCTTCAACAAATAATTTTTTTAACTGAGATTACCTAAATATTGCTGGTATTCTATTACTAGGAAACTGTTATTCAGAATCATGAGCCCATTTGGCAGGTTAGGTCAAAGCATCTGATCAGAAGGCTGCGAGATTTGTCTTTGGTGTGCAATCTGTAGAATCACACCATATGCGGGTGTGGAGATTTGTTCACTGAAAATGCTTCTTTTAGAAACATTAGGTGGTATTCAGCTGCATTTTACTCATAGTAGACCCACTGAGATTAATGAACATGACAAAGTTAGGTGAAGGAAGGTTTCTTATGATCATACAAAGCACATTTCTGTATTACCTTTTCCAATGTGTCTCCTGGTGTTCTCAATTGTTGAGTTGCGATTGACATTGGAGAGCAAACCTAAGCAGAACCTGTTCTTGTTATTAGAAGGATCTGTAAAACCGTCTACTAAAATACTAGTGGAAGATGCAAGAAATGCCTCCCCAACTCGATTGTTTAATTCATAATACACAATTGAACACCAGTGCTTGGGCTCTTCATAGGCCACAGGGTGAACATCTATGAACAAAAGCAAAACATACGGATTTCAGCATTTCCAACACCTAAAGCAATAGTCTCTCCCATACAGTAATAGTATTAATGCCTTTATTCCTAGGAGCTCAAAGAGTTTCATGGATACCCCCTCCAAAATATTCCAACAGCTCTGCAAAGTAAGCTAAGTCCCACAAGAAAGATGGGAAACCAAGTCTCTGATGACAGTGGCATGGCATAACTGAGCTGTGGACCAGAGACCACCAGATCATGTTCACAAGCACTACATTACGCCAACTTGGGACCATGAAAAATAATTTGTTTTAATCATGCTGAATTACTTATTTCTTTAGGCCACAGCTCAAGTCCATAAAAAATGGAGTTTCAAGAACATGGCTATTTAAAGCACCCACACTTAGAAACAAAGACCGTCTTTATATATACACAATTAAAAGTTATTAGTTTGGCTAACTGGTTGTTCACTGAATACTGAAATATTCAATACATGCAGCAGTTTATTCTGAAATGCTGATAACCTGGGTCCAACCCTGGGCTCCTTTGGGAGGAAGGGCAGGCTACAAATATTTTTTGCTCCACCTATAAAGGTCCCTCTGGTGCTGCTCTGTCCACATCCCTGCAAACTCACTATGTATCCAACCCTCAAACACTAATATCCTCAACCTATAACACAATTACCCATGGCTGAAAAGCAAAATTGGATGCTGCCCATCCAAAGCCTTCACTGCCAATGTGCTTTTAAGGGGCAGGGATAAGTGGCAGCTGGGGAGGAAAGCACTTTTGATTGGTAGGCTATTCTCTTCTCTATAGAATTTCAACTGCACAATATTGACAAGTCTACAAAATGCATTGTTCACCTCACCTCTATTGGAAATATTTGGCATTATCTGAGAGATCATATTATTGCTTGTGTCCATAGACTGTGAATTATCTTGCCCCATTTGATCTTCAGGAGGCATATATGCTGGTGGTGGTGTATCTGCTATAAAGAAAAATAAGGAATTTGAGCAAAGTGAGAACATTTAATCCAGCCTAATCACAACAACTCCTGTTACCCCTACAAATCAATTGTTCCTCCCACTTCAGGGTCAACCTTCCTTACTACCTCCTCACTCTCCACCTTCCATTTTTCTGCTTCCTTTGAAATCTTTCTCTATAAATAAACTGCTTTATAAATAGTTGATCAGATTGTCTGTGTTTCTTTCCCCTATGTGCACATGTACTTTCCCCACTCTACAGCCTTCTGGGCCACAACCTAACCAATAAGTCTTGCCCGTCTCATTCTTCCTGCTCTAGTGATCATCATCAGGAGGGCAGTCTTGGTCAGGTTCTCACACTGAGAGTATTAACTAAAAATGCTTGAAGCAGTGTCACCAATATCAATGGGATCAAACAAAAATCAGTATATTTAGAACAACCTATAAGATGTTGCTTCCAATTTTGCAATTGCAGTGATTTACCACTCCCTAGTTCCCTGCCCTTCTCTTTTCTGGTTAGGATTGCACTGTAAAGCCATCTGGTGTTCCCCTCCCTATATGCTTCATGTGTGTGAGTGCGTGCTTGGAGTTTAATGTGGAGGATCATTTAAGCTTCTGATTCCCATTTCAGTCTGAAATCTGTTCCCAGATTGCTGTACCTCCGTCACTGCTATAACTCCCAACTTCCCTGTTTCTCCTATTCTAAAACAAACCAAACCTCACGCCCCTTGACCCATCTTCCCTTGTCAATTCCTGCCCAATTTATCTCCACCTCCAAACTCCTGAAATATGCCTCTTTGCATCCCCATCCTTAAATTTCTCTCCAATTCTGCTCTCAAACTTGGCTTTTCCTCCCAGCAATTTCCTAAAACTGCCCTTGCCAAAAAAATAGCCTACCAATTCAATTATCTCTGCAGTCCTAGTCATCTGTGCTGCATGTGATATACAGCTGATGACTCTTGCCCTAAGACCCCACTCAGCTCTTCACCTGTATAATCCTTTTTTTGATCTCTACATCTGGGGAGACACTTCCTCGTGGATCTGTTTTTAGCTCTCTTGCTGTCCTCCCCCTACACCCTCTCACCAGGTGTATCCCATTCCATGAGTTTCAGTACCATGTATAGGCTTCTGATAGTGTTCTTCATCTTTACCCTGAATTTCCTCCCTTCATCCAATCTCCCATCTCCAAGTACTTTTCATATTTTGGTTTGGATGTTTTGTCAACATCTCAAGTTCAATATGTGGAGGCGAAACTTCTTATCTTTCCTCTCAAGCCCTTCTTTTATCACCTCGCTCTCCATGTCCAGTGACATTATCGCCATCCACCCTGCTGAGTAGGCAGATAGCCTTGGCTTTCTCTTTGACTTCTCTCTTCCTTTACCACATAATCCGCAATTTAGTGTATCACTGCTGTGCAATGTTAGTGCTTCCTTTGTAACATTACAGAAAAAACAAACAAGAGTCGTCCTTCTCTGTCACCTCAGCAAAAATTCTGGGCCATGCCCTGGTCTTTATTTTATTATCTGAAATGTTTTTTGGGTGTTTCCAAGAGACATACATTACAGTGCATATACAACAAACCAACTTTTTTTTTTAATAAATCCCGGGCCAATACAACAACATAGTAGACCGAAGCGATCAGCAAGTCATGGCACAGGTGTGGGGAACCTTTCACCCTTCAGATGTTACTGAATTACAATTCCCATCAATCCCCCACAACATGGACAATGGCCAGGGATGATGGGACTTGTAGTTCACTGACACCTGGAGGCTGAAAGGTTCCCCACACCAGTTTTAGCAGTTCATATCCACTGGTCTTCAATGCTAACACTTGCTAATTTCAAAGGCACCCATGAGTTTGTGGAGGAACCATTCATGGGAATCCTCAACTAATGTGCAGAGTGGGTCCAGGCTCTAGTTTTGTCTAGACTATGGAAATCTACTACTTCCCGACTTTCTATTGCCTCGACTTTATCCTCTCACCTTTATCCAGAACTGTTATCAAAAACATTCACCTCTCTCACCACTCTGACCATGTGATGCCCTTCCTTGAATTTCTACACTCCCTTCCTGTTTATTCCTAGAGCCAGCATAAATTTCTCACCCTTATTTTCAAACCCCACCAAAGCCTTGCACCACCTGATCTTTTTGCTTTTATATCCCAACAAACATATGATACCCACTCATTCAGCTTCACCATGCTTGGCCAACCGAGGAAGCAACACAACTTTTTCTCCCTCACATTTATGAAAGGAACCGCCTCTCAGAATGCTTCCATGCTATCACCTATTTTACTACATTCAAAACACAACACACTCTCAGAAACCCCACCTTTTCCATGAAGACTTTGGGCACAACCTCCTGGTTCCTATGTTCTCCATAACTAAAGTAAAAGTACATGCAACCTTCTCCTGCATGCCTCACTTCCATTCCCCTCTTTTTCCTCAATTGTCTCCCTAGTGTCGCTCTCTACATTAAGCCTCCAGGACAGAGATCTTTCCTCTCGTTGTTTGTGTAGCACCATGCATATGGGTCACACTAAATAAATAACAGTTGAATGGTTTATACTTTCTCCAAACTCTTAGTCTTGTGTCTTCTGTCCCACTACCCATTCAAATCAGAAGTGTATGCAGAAATACATAAAACAGCAAAATTCTCAAATAACTGAATTATTTGTTCTCTTTAATTAATTCCTTCACAAGATTACCATAGATTCCGGCATATAAGGCGACTTTTGAACCCCGGAGAATCTTATCCAAAGTCAGGGGTTGCCTTATACGCCAGGTATGGGCGGCACGGAGCAGAGCCCGCCCCCCGCTGCGGTGGCTCCGAAGCAGCAGCAGCGGGCTCAGCTCCGTGTCGGGAGAAAGCCGCCCGGCGTGGAGCTGAGCCTGCCCCCTGTTGCTACCCAGCATATTAGGCAACTCGGCTTATAAGACAAATCCCCAAATTGCAGCTGCCAATTTGGGGGGTCGTCACCTAATATGCCGGAATCTACGGTGATTCCAAAGCTTCAAATGATGTGTCCGTAATAAATATGACAAAATGCATATTAGGAACTCTGAAATGTAATTCTAACTCCCTCTGGCTTCCTGCTACAAGTTTTACATTTCAATTGACGTCACACAGATAGGCTTTTACCTGGTAGCTGAAATGGACTAGAAGGTCCGGAACTGGCTGGCGAATTTGGATAAGTACTGCCGCCTGGAGAAGGTGGATATGGACTACTTGGGGAAATGGGAAATGGAGTGCTGTTAGGCTGCTGGAACGAATCTGGAAAAGTAGCATTGTGTGGCATGTGCGGTTCATTGTGACTCAGGTTCCTGAACTGAACCAGAAGGCTATGCTGTGGGTTGAATTCACTATGCCTTGGCACCAATACTGGAGGTAGAACTGAAAAGGAAGAAAACAACATAAACCTAAGATTAGTGCTTTTAGTTAACAGCCCTGAAGATGTCCGTTTGCCTATAGCAGTAGAAGTGCTAAGTGCCGAAGACACAGACAGAAGAACGTGCCTTAAGCACACACTGTCAAAACACTGGAAAAATCTGGTTGTATGTCCCATAGCAATCCAACAAGGTAAGAGGAGCCTCTCACTGACAAATGGTGAACAGTAGGGGTGAGAAAACATTTCCAGGCCATGGGGCACATTGCATTCTGAGCAGCTTTTGGGGAACCACATGCCAGTGGTGGATAGGGTCAGAGCAAAAAAGCTTGCTTCTATGTTTATTATCAGAAATCATGTTTCAAAAAGCATAGAGTTTAACAGATGGACAATGCAAGGTAGACATATAGCATCAATGTTCCCCAAGACAAAAGAAACCTCAAGGACCGCCTCTCCCCATGTGGGCCTACCAGGACCCTGCAATCAGCATGATGCCCTTTTTTGTGTGCCTCCTCCACAAGAGGTCCAGAGGGTGGAAACACAAGAACAGGCCTTTTCTGCAGTGGTTCCCTATTTGTGGAACGCTCTTCCCCAGGGTGGCTCACCTGGCGCCCTCATTATACACCATTAGGTGCCAGACTAAAACATTCCTCTTCAACATCCTTTAAACTTTTAAATGTGGGGTTTGTGGGGAGAGGGTATTTGTTTGGTTTTACTGTGTATTTTGAACTTGTATTTTTATGCTGTGAACCACCCTGAAATCTTCAGATGACGAGCGGTATACAAATTTAATAAATAATAATTTCACTTTGTAAAAGAAAGTTCAGCTACACCAATCTTCCTCATATTCACCTGACAGCAAACCTATACGTGCTTTCCTGGGAGTCAAGTCTCACTCAACACAATGGCACTATCTTCTAAGTAGACATGCACTGTAAATCACATTACAGTTTGAACACTTTGTGATGAAAGCAATGCCATAACATTCAAACACACCTGGGCTCTCTACCCTTTTGTAATGATATGGATTGATGCAGACTTCCTTCTGCTTAGATCCAAAAGGAAATTCACAAACGTCCAACGGCTTCAGCTCGTGATGACTCTGCAGGTCAGGCCAACGCCAAACACGACAGTAAATAACATGAGGAAGGCCCTTGCGGTGAGAAACTTGAAGACGCCCATCTAACGAACGAGGAATAGTAACGCATTTACTGGGTTGTCCAGGACTGCTCAGTGCTTTCTCCAGCTCCTCCATGGCTCCTTTTTTCTTTTTCAGTTTTTTAACCAGAGCATCAACTGCTTTTTCTGCCCATTTTTCCTCTTCATCGCCTTGTTTCCAGCCCAAAAGACGCTTTACAGCTGGGCTAGTAAAAGAGAACAGGCTGGCCATTGACGTCATTTGACAAGTGTTCAAGCAAGTTTTGGAACTAAACTGGAGATTCTCAGGCACAACAGCAGCTGGGTAGCTGCTGCTGTACAGCAGCAACTGGGTTTTTTCTTTAATCCAGTGAAGTTTCTTCTTAGGCCTGTTAGAAATAATTACAGTCCATTAGTTGTTGCCATCTTACCAGAGAGACTAAGACAAAGAGATATAGGCTAACCAGGAACTTATAAAGGCTATTCCATTTATATCACACACTATAAAGTAGATTCAGTAATTGGTTTTTAATATTTCCCATTTTCACACTACATACAAGCCTAAAGGTTTGTATCTACTTCAGTCATGCTTACAGCAGACCCACTGAAATCAAGTTAAGTCATGATTTCTCTAAGCATGAATAAGACTGCAGTCCTAACCCCACTTAGGTGGGAGTGAGTCCACTAAATTCAGCATATCTTAGTTCTGAGTACAGTCATACCTCATGTTACGTCCGGGTTACTTCCGGGTTTCGCTGCTCGTGCATGCACAGATGCACAAAAGGACGTCACGTGCATGTGCAGAAGCGGCAAATTGCAACCCACGCATGCGCAGACGCGGGTTGCGTTCTTTTCATGTTGCAAACGGGCCTCCGGAACGGATCCCATTCGCAACCAGAGGTACCACTGTAGTCATTATCAAGACTGTGCTGTAAGTCTGAAACCAACCCAAAGACTGATGTCCCTTATTTGGACAGTTACATCTATTAGGAGGAAAGCTTCAACGCACTGGTGGTTCAGAAGAACACTTGCCATTAATAACTAATAACTGTGCAACTGAACTAGTGCAGTACAATGTGAAAGAACTAGTTTAAAAGTCACTTCTGTTCTCCTTATGTGTTTTAAGTCCTGTGTCAAACCCAAAGAAATGCATATTAAGAGCTGTGTTGGAATAAATACTAATTGCTTGTTGCTTCAAAACAGTTACATATTAAAACAACACAGGTAACAGTAACAAATTGTTCCTTTTATATTACCAACAAGGACCAACTGCAACTTAAAAAAAAAATAAAAATAAAAGGGGAGTAATGATGACAAACGGAACTAGTGTGCTGTGGCAACATGTTGATAAGACCTCATAAAATCCCAGAAGAATACTCAACAAGTACAGACACAGACAATAGGCAGCTGGCAAAAAGCAAGCACTAAACAAAGAAAAAGGATGTCAATAACAAAGTGAGTTCCGGTTCTGCTACAGAAACTGCCAAATATTGTCTTTGGGACTTCTGATAAACCATGGCAAGTCAAAACAGCTAGCTTGCTCTGGAACATTTTCAGTCCCCTCCAAATCTGTAATACTCAGCAAAGGAAAGCTAGGTGCTTCCCTGTTACCTACCTTGTTACATATGAAAACACACGTAGGAACAGCAGCTACCTGTTCTGCTAGGCAAGGGAACACAGCAAAGCATTGTGCTCCCTTCCTCATCAGAAGGAAGCCACTTTCCAACATCTGCAGCCTGTCACCTTCATCTCTCCAGAAGTGGGACTGCAGTTTGCATGCCTAGACAAGATGCACACAAAGTGCACCCAGCAGCAGCACTCACCTGTATCGCTCACCATGCTTCCCTAGTTAAGAAAACTGATATGGGCGCCACGGTTGCTGCCAATCCCAAGTATACGCTGCGTATGAGCAATATGCCCTCTAGGCACTGCTGGAGTACACACCTCCCACCATCTCTGAACACTGGCCACGCTGGCTGGGACTGCTGGGAGTTGGAGTCCCAACATCTGGAGGACACCATATTGGCTGCTCCTCCTATCGCATTACCACAACAAACCAAATGCAGGACCCAAGGGGGAAAAGGACGCGGCAATTTCCCCAGCCAACATCCAGCCTTCCTGAACAAGATGCCTCTGTCCTAGGGGTGCACCTTGGGCGCTCACACGCCTCAACACAGAAGCAAAAAAAAAACCATTGCATGTAGGAAAACGTGGGGTATGTGCTTTTCTGGAGGAAAGAGAACGGAAATCCATTCAGTCGCAATAGATAAGAGTCCCCACCTAAACTTCCAAGCACGGGCCTGGAGCATGCTTTGCACCCCATTTGCTGCAGGAAAAAAGCTCCAGCCAATGCATTTCCCCCAAAAAACCATTTTGTACGTTGCAGCAGCCCCACATAGCGTACTCCTGTTCGGTACTAGCGCAGGCCGCGCAGCCAGGCTGGAGTCCCACCCGTGGGAAGGGGGCTGGAGGGGGGGGGCTTAGAATCTGCCGGCCGCTTGCTTGCTTACTCACGAGGAGGCTCTTCTTCTCTTGCTTCCTTTGCGCGCGCGCGCGCACACACAAAGGGAGCCTCCGCCGCGGCGCGAGGCCGGGCTCTGCGCCTTCTCCCCAAGCCAACTGCGGCTCCCCAGCCCGCCGCGCTTGAAGCGAGAAGAACCCTCCGCGGAAGCCGACTTCAGGGGGGAGGGGAGAGAGAGAGCGGAAGGAACGAACGGAGGCTCCTCCTGCCTCCCCCCCTCCCGTCCCTCCAAAGAACCTACTTACCGCCCGACGAGCGGCGAAGGAGGGCAGGAGAAGCCCCAAGCCAAGGGGACCACGGTCGGATCGGAGGCGGGGTGGGAGGGGGGAAGAGGAGGAGCCGGGCAGGCTCACGAGAGCAAAGAGCTCACGTGACCAGCAAGAGGCAAGCGCTGGCTGGCTCGGCCTGCGCTGCCACTCAGCCGCCTTCGGCCAGTGGCGTGCAGGGAGGGGAGGGCAGGAGCTCGCTGTAGTTGGGCGGGGGAAGAAGGAGAGGCGGCGTGAAAAAGCGGGTCGCTTTCGCTGCCGCGCGCTTTTGGGTGGATAACGTTTGAAAGCAACAGGCGATTCAGCTGAGGAAACTTACTAGCACTTTATTTAGATCAGTACTCGCAGTTGCATATACACTTCTATTAAATTTATTTATTTGGGTTTTCTAATTAAAATTTTACAATCACAAACACAACATTAAAGACAAGATTCCAGAGAATCTCCTGGACTTCCCTTCTCCTTTTTGTGGGTCCTATTATGAATCATTTCCTCCTGCATCTTTTATAATAATCCAAATCTTTTACATCTCCATTATATCCAAAATTCACCATTAAACTACAAGTGTTATTCAGATCCTACTAACGATTTTAACTGTTTACAATGGTTTTTAAGGTAAATGATAACTTTACGATTTCTGATTCTTCTGGTCATTTTTGCCATTTTGGCATAATCCATCAATTTAATCTGCCATTCTTCTCTGGTTGGGACTTCGTTCGTTTTCAATCTCTGGGCCAATAACATTTGTGCAACTGGTCACATACCTAAATAATATTTTCTGCTCCCTTGGGATTTTGGCACCTACATATACATTTATATTTCCGGCATCTCTTTTTCTAGGAAAATAGCACTGTGTGTGGCACAGCTGTACAGGCATAACAACCCTGGCTTGTGAAAAGTCAGCAACAAGTGCCAGACAGTGGTGACTGGTAATATTTTTTACTTGGTATGGCTGCAGTTTGTTTGGAAGTTGTCGTTGCAGTAGGTGCTTGTACAGCCTCTTATTTAGGAAAGTGTGCAATTATGCAGAGTGCATTGATTCCTCTCTTTCTAAAAGAAATCAATTATTCTCTCTACCTGTATGGACATGGAAATAGCTCCCATGGAAGAGGCCCCAAGTATGATTTTCAGACAGTATGGACTCCATACATCTTACTTAGAAGTTTAGCTATATCACATGCCATGTGGTTTTGAATTTTATGTACTGTTTACATTGTTATTTAGAGAAAAGGAGTGTGAAGTCACTGAGAGGAAAAGCTGGAAAGCAGAGAGGCAGAGCAATGGTTGATTTCTCTTTGAATGCAAGGCTATGGGAATGGAAGAAACAAGACCCTTTTGAGAGGGTTAATGCTGTGAAACCCACTATTGCAGGCTCAGTTTGTATATATGTGTGTAAATAAACCATAGATCATAAAGACAAAATAAACCATGTATCATAAAGATATCACCGTCTCCGCTGGGCCTCATTTCCAAAAGGAAACATGAATCCTGGGTAAAGCAGGCCTGGAACCCCTGGAATCTCACAACCACTCAGAGATATGGGTGGCATGCAACAATACATTTGAAAGGTATTAGGATCTTTGAAATACAGTGGTACCTCGGGTTACATACGCTTCAGGTTATATATGCTTCAGATTACAGACTCTGCTCACCCCAAAATAGTACCTCGGGTTAAGAACTTTGCTTCAGGATGAGAAGAGAAATTGCACGGCAGCAGCAGGAGGCCCCATTAGCTAAAGTGGTGCTTCAGGTAAAGAACAGTTTCAGGTTAAGAATGGACCTCCAGAACAAATTAAATAGTAACCAGAGGTACCACTGTAAAATGGATACATTTGCAAAACATGTCAAGCCAGCAAAGACCAAAACAAATCATTACAGTGGTATCTCGGGATGCGTACGGGATCCGTTCTGGAGCCCCGTTCACATCCCGAATGGAACGCAAGACGCGAAAGCACGTCTGCGCGTGCGCGGGGTCGTGTTTCGCCGCTTCCGTGCATGTGCGTGACGGCATGTGCTCCGTTACTTCCGGGTTGCCGCGGAGCGCAACCCAAACGCTCTCAACCTGAAGCACATTCAACCTGAGGTATGACTGTATTTTTAAGCATTTTCACAGAATTGTGAGGAACACACAGCAGAGCTGGCTGCTGATCAGAGACAAGCACTTCTACATTGTAAAGCTGAGGAAATACAGAGATTGTTAGCAAAAGGTAAGCCTTCTAACATACCTCAGAGAAGACCAGCAATATAAAGAATGAAAAAAGACATTCTGGATTTGTCAGTGTGCAAAATCCATTGACCCAGAACACAGAGACACTGCCTCATACGTAGAGACCATTGTCTGACGAGAAAAAAACAAAACCCTCTGTTAAGGATGACAGTTCCTGGCAGGCTCAAGCTTGCTGGTCCATCAAAAGGGATACAAATTTGGCAGACAAAGCCTTCAACCTTGCCAATAATCACTGGCCAAGCAGAGGAAGTGCTAACAGTATATAACTGCATTGTCACAAGAAGCTTTTGATTAAAAAAAAACCACGGCACAAATATTCCTGATAAAACTAGCTGAAGCAGAGTGATAAAATTATAGGCTCATGTTATATGCCACAGATAAATATTGAAATGGAAACTAATCTGAGATGGGAACCCAAGCTATGCTTCGTTTTTTGGGGACTGTAAATGCATATGAGTTGATTAAGAAGATTGAAAGGTATGGCATTTGTTGCAGCATCCAACATATATTAGCAAAGAGGGTTTCTCATCCCAGCCCATCTGATCATTGTTTGTGTACTTGTTTGCTCTGTCCTCTGTACTCTTAATAACATTCATTTCCCCTATGTGGCAACATTTTTTATTTAAATATCATTGAAGTGACTAGATGAAAGTTCTGTATTAAAAAATATTAAATTAATTTAATTTTAACCAGAATGCCATGAGTTTATTAAAATATTGTGTTGGAGAATGCTTGCATTGACATTTTTGCTTCGAAGTGCCGAAGTGCTACATCACATTACTTGTGCTTTAAAAGGAAGCAGATTGTCAATGTAATGGAAAATGGGGGCGGGGGGAGAGAGAGAGAGATGGGAAACCCACCTAAGTTTTGCAAGCGTGATTTCCAATACAAATCCTGTTACAGGTCAGACTTCTGCCACTAATGTGCTGAATGCATTATCATAATGAAGCAATTTTTCAAGTGTGTTAATCAAGTGATATTTGAACACTTTGCAAGTTGTGAATTATAACTCTAGGAGGCATTTTCACTTAATAGATAGATATAGGGGAAATGATTGGTTTACTGGAGATCACATGAAAAAACTGGGGGAAATTATTCCTATCACTTTGAATGTTTACTTTAGCCTTAATACCATGAATCTCTTTCTACGTTCTTTGACTGAGCTATAAACTACATATAAACGTCTGTACAGCTCAGTTATCAGCACTGATCACAAACAGTGTCAATGGGTGTCAAATCTTCAGTATGGCAATGGGGGAGGAGAATCTGAACTATAATGTTCATAACACAAAAACCCATCAATGATTTTCCAAATTATTTATGTGTTTGAAGCTATAAGAAAGTCACTATGTGGTTGTACTAGTTGCTTCTTTTCATTACATATCCGTTTCGATTAGTGCTTGGGAATAAGCAAGAAGCTTTGCAATATGTAATCTGGAATCCAGAGTGTTGCATATGCTGTTCTAGACTCCTCCTTTTCAATGTCTAAATGGGGTACACTGCTGCCAGAAAGAAAGAACAGCCACCCCAGTGTGCACACAGAAGGACTTGGTGTGCATTCCTTTGAACCCCTGCCTTTTAAAAATGAATCACAGTTGACCCTACCATTGCTGCAAAGAGCTCAAGATTGGATACATGGACTATCCCATTTTATCCTTAACACCTCCTCCGTGGTATTTTAAGCTGAATTTGCTCAAGACCATTGAGTGTGAGCCTCGTGTCTGCATGAGGATTTAATTCAAGACTCCCTAACCACAGCCCAACATCACACTGGCTTCCCACTTCATGCAAAAATGTTGACTGTTTTCTACATATTTGTTGCATGGACAGTGATATGTGGACGTAAGCATATTATGAACATCTAGTTATTTATTTCAGAACATTTATATCCTGCTCTTTTAATGTAATGCGGCATTCGTTAATCTATGTGTTTGTGGCTAAGTTATTTTTCTGAGCGTGCATACACCCTACACAGTACAGCCAACCTCATTCTGTTTGTGATGGCCAGGGAAGCCATAATTATATCACAAAATGAAAAGTTATCTGAGGGATAGAGCTTTCTTTTTCTCCCGTGGAAATGATTGTTCCAAAATGCCTCTGGTGTAGAAGAGAATGGAGGAGTTGACCAAAGTTCTCCAATAATTCATTTAGTATTCATGCTTCACTCCTTTGGTTGGCTGAGGAGAAAGGGGCAGAAAGGGAGGGATTACTTTTCCAGGCCATGTAGTTGTAAGAAATGCACATATGCCACAGTTGTAAAAGCAAAGAAACCTGCCACTGCTGAGAAGATGCCATTGCGTCCTTCCCTCTAATGCAGGGGTCAGCATTAGATGCCGGTGTCTCCAGCGCTGATCATGCGGCGGGCTGGAAGGCGGGGGAGTGCGTGCCCATATGCATGCGCACACGCTATTTCTGGCACACTTCCGGGTCGGAGGAGCACTGGAAATAGCTTGTGTGCATGTGCACAGGCCTCCTCCGACCCGGATGTCCACCGGAAATAACACTTGCGCATGCGAAAACAACGCACAAGCTATTTCCAGTGCTCCTCCGACCCGGAAGTGGGCAGCTGCGCAGTGCAGCGCCGGTAAGAGGGGGGGGTGGCAGCGGGTGGTGGGGGTCGCTGCGGGCTGGATAAACGATTCCCTCAGGCCTTATCTGGCCCACGGTCCTTAGTTTGGGGACCTCTGATCTAATGAGCCACCTCTGTTTTAAAATTGAAGATACATTCATTGTTTTCTTCATATACATCATTCTCAACAAATTGTCACTCGCAAGGTAATTCAGCAACCCACCTCAGCCCTCTCACACCTTTCAGGGACAGCTCAAAGCAGAATGTCCTCAAGTTAGATGAGAACTGGTTCCAAGCCAGTGCCAAAATCATCCCTCACTTTAGCATGCAATCAGTTAAACAATGTGGTCAACCCTTGCTTGATGTACCAGAATATTGTGTTTGGACAATACAAAAGAGCTTGAAATTGCCCAAGCAACATTTCTGGGATCTTTCTGCAAAAAACGCCCCCCTCCCCTTAGGGTGGAGATTTGAGAATGTTCTCTTGCTTTTTAAGAACCTTTGCATTATACATTTTTTTGGATCAAGCTATAGTTTACAGAAAACAGCAAATTCCCATCTGTCTTGGGGAACATGTCTGTTTTAAAGAAGCTTAGACAAAGTTTTTGGCTGTAGTACGTAGTCACTAGGTTTAATCAGCATTGTGGTTTTCTGTTTAATCTAGCTGAGGCCCTCGTCTGCCAAAACTCAGACTAAATACAGAATTTAAGATATGGACACACCTTGGGATTTATTGGCAAGACTTCCCCCAGTTTAGATTTATAAAATAGAACCATTGTCTGGAAAATTATTTAACTTCATTAAATTAAATGTACACTTCACAACCCTCTGATTTCAAATTATAGCAGCCATAGTCATAGACAGACACTATTGTAAGGCAGGTTATGAGACAAGTTTACCTCTGTAGAGGAGAGAGGATTTAACAAGTCCTTATAATCTTCTCAAAAGGTCAGACAAAACCTACAGTCTGTTTTGCACTGAGTTAAGCATAGGGCTATCTGTCAGATTACTTGCTGAATGGAATAGATAGGGTGATTGCATAAATTTGTTTTATTTGCTCTGACAACAGTAACAATTAGATTAAAATGAATGTGGAATCTTGCCAAGGTAATTCCTTGGAAGTACCTTATAAGTTTGGACTGCATCTTGACTTGTTTTAATTCTGCTGATATGCCTTTTTTTTATAAAACAGAAATTAAATTCCTTTTTTCTGTGCTGTGCACAGTTTGGGATTGAGGCAGGCCAATGCCTCATGCGGTAGCATGCAGCCATAGTATTGTCTATTATTATTATTATTATTATTATTATTATTATACAGTGGTACCTCAGTTTTCAAGCACCTCGGAAGCTGAACGTTTCAGTTTCCGAATGCTGAAAACCCGGAAGTAAATGCTTCCATTTTTGAATGCGCCCCGGAAGTCAAATGGCTTCCGCTGTGTTTTGTTTTTCCCCCAGTTTTCTCCATTCTCTTTGCAGACCCCCCTTTGCGCCTCAGTTGTCAAATGTTTCAGAAGCCAAACGGTCTTCCGGAACGGATTACGTTCGACAACCGAGGTACCCCTGTATTTTTATACTGCCCTTCATCCTAGGATCAGTATAAAAAACAAAAGTACTTAACTTTGTAACAAACAAAACAATAAGCTCAATGGAAGATTCCAGGTGCTTTGAGTGAGATGATAAAGTGATGCAACTAAACCATCTTTCATAATGATAAAACATAAGTTTTCTTTGATAACTCAATATTTTAATAAATGTCATTATCCCCCCCCCCAGTAATTCTATGTGTTCTTGGGTTTTCAGGGTAGCCTTTGCACAGCAAGTTTTCTTTTGAGAGAATATATAAAACAGTTAAATACATAAAAATAGTTAAAACAATTGCATATAGCATACATAAAATTATTTCAAATCCAAGTGGAATAAAGATCTCCATTTAGAAATCTTCTTCTTCTTCTTCTTCTTCTTCTTCTTCTTCTTCTTCTTCTTCTTCTTCAAAAAGGAACATCTTTAACAGGTGCCAAAGGTGCCTGTCTGTTATACAATGGGAGGGAGTTCCAAAGTGTGGGGGCCATCACATAAAAAGCCCAATTCCAACATTTTGCAGAATGGACCTTCTTATAGGATGGTGTCTGCAGGGTGCCTCCTCCTGCAGAATGTAGTGATTGGTTGGGTATGTAAAGGGTGAGATGATCTAACACAGTTGAATGTCACATATGGAGAAAGGCAATTCATTTTTTACACATGGAGAGTTAGGGGGAAAAGGGCATTTTCTTATGAACATAACATTTCATATCCTCAATTCATAGGATGGAAACAGTTTTCCTGTTGACTCACATGGTGTCCTTAAAGATGCTGTTCTTTCTATATTCTACAGAAAAATAAATTTGACATAAGAAAAAATCCAGAAAAAACTTTTAAATTAATTTATTAATTACTCAGGAACTTTGTAGAGCAGGATCCGTCTCCACTGCCACAGTGCTACTTACTGGGCCATTATACATCTTCCCATTAATTTTTTGTTCATCCTCCACTTCAATGCATTTCCCTGTCACTTTCCTGACTGCGAAAAGTCCGTGTTTCAAAAATGGGGATTTGTTGTGTCAGGGTGTCAGAGCACTTTAATCCACTTGAATTTCTCAAATTTAAATTTCCAATATGCACTTGAATCCCTCCCAGAAAACACCGACAGTCTGGAGGCAGCCTTGCATTTGTGACATTATAATTCGTGTTCAACCTGATCATTCTGTAAACAATTACCATGAAATCAAGACATGCTTTCTAGCCTTCCTCTCACAAGGAAACATTTTCTTAAAGTTTTCTCCACTCAGGGATGGAAGAGTGCAAAAAGAAATGACAGGAGCCCAAAAGGACACCGGCAAAATGCCGGATAATGCCCTATTAATAAAATCCTGGATTATTCAAGAAAGCTGATGCTTTGTAAGAATGAAATATTGTGTTCTTGTATCACTTTTTAAAATAGCCACTGGCTCTGATACGCACCTTTCTGCGCAAGTTAATGAAGCAACAACAGTTGGAGAAAGTTAGTAGGGCACTCTTAGAGTGGTCATGTAAGGTAACAAAAGCTTTCTGGGAGATGATATATACAGTGGTACCTTGGGTTACAGACACTTCAGGTTACAGACGCTTCTGGTTACAGGCTCTGCTCACCCAGAAATAGTACCTTGGGTTAAGAACTTTGCTTCAGGATGAGAACAGAAATTGTGTGGTGGCAGCGTGGAGGCATCGGGAGGCCCCATTAGCTAAAGTGGTACCTCAGGTTAAGAACAGGTTCAGGTTAAGAACGAACCTCCAGAACGAATTGAGTTCTTAACCCGAGGTACCACTGTAATGAAATGAAAAAAATATTCAAAATAACTTTTGTTAAAAAAAAACCAGAAGCTTTTTTTATTAGGAATTCTAGGTACCAGCATTCCAAAGGAGCAGAAAAGACATTTTATGTATGTGACAACAGCTGCTCGGAACCTACTAGCCCAGAGATGCAAAGAATAAGTCCCTACCAGATAGGAATGGCAAGCGAAGCTGATGGACTACGCCAAGATGGCAAAGCTGACTGGAAAGCTCAGGAACCAAGAGGACAAGAACTGTAAAACAGAGTGGGGAAAATTTATATTTATTTAAGAGACCACTGCAAGCAGATGAAAACATCAGCAGGATTTTAATCTCGCTTGTAATGTAACAAACATTATGGACAATATGGATTGATATAAAATATAGACTATGGAATAATATGCAGTTGTAAATGTTGACAATAGGATCCATGAAGGGGATGGGGGGCATCTCGAGGTTCAAAATAATCTCTATATATGGATATGCATTTGGATTGTTACAAAATTGTATTTGCAAAATCAAATAAAAATGATTTCAAAGAAGAAGAAGAAGAAGTAGGGCGCTCTTAGAGGTTTGATAAAAAGACAGCATCATGTTGGCCTATAAGTACTGCAAACCACAAGCAGGCCCAGCACAACAGTTCATTCCCGAATGCTGCACCATGTTCAAACACCCTGGGAAAAATATAGCCTTCGAAACCATGTGATTAGATCTCAGATGCCAGATTAATATACAGAAGAGTTATAAACTATAATTATTGTAGCACTTCTCTGCATGCCATTTCAGCAGTTCCAGAGCGGAATGTGGGTGGGGTTTGGGTGTTTGTACTTGTAGACAAACATGCAATGTTGGATTTTGTTGTTGTGTGTGTATGCAGTGAACTCAATAACACTCATTAGATTTTCCTGCACGTTGCTGATGCACCAAACTGCGTAGAATACCGTCCTCCAAGCCTGTTTCTGGGCTTTGCTCAAGGCTGGTACACGGGTCACGTAAAGATGGCCTTTTAAAGAATTGTTTATAAAATATCTTAATAACATATTTATTATTTCCTCGCAGATCCTGTCTGCTGTTGACACTGCAGCAAGGTATAAGGTTGTATTCTCTTCCTCTCTGCAGCTCTACCTACCCACATGGACACTGCTGTTCCCCAGCACTGCTGCTTAGGCATGAAGGCTGTTACTCAGTCAGGGGCATTGCTAGCTGCTCTGGCACCCAGAGCGGTGGGAGCGGGGTGAGCAGCCCACATGGGCAGGGCGATGCGCCTGGGGGGGGTGTGACACGATGAGCTGCCCATGGAGTCTGCCTGGCAGACGCAAGCCCCACGCTGCCATTTTGGGCAGTGCTGGGCCCCGAGCCACTGTGTCACTCCCAGGAGAGAAGCATGGCTCGGGCGCGCTGCAGGCCAGGCCC